CCCGTCTACCTCCTCTCTGGTAACCATCACTTTGTTCTCTATATTTAAGAGTCTATTTTTTTGGTTTGTCTCTTTTTTCTTTGGTTTGTTTCTTCAATTCCACATATGAATGAAACCATAGGTATTTGTCTTTCTCTGACTGACTTATTTCACTTAGCATTATACCCTCTAGATCCATCTATATTGTTGCAAATGGCAAGATTTCATTCTCTGTATGGATGAATAATAATCATTGTACATATATGCCACTTATATACACATCTATACCACATCTTTTTCTTAAGTTTTTAATTTTAATTCCAATATGGTTAACATACAGTGTTCTGTTAGTCTCATGTGTACAAAATAGTGATTCAACAGCTCTATACATTACTCCGTGCTCATCATGATAAATGTACTCTTTAATCCCCATCACCTAATCCACCCATCTTCCCACCCACCTTCCATCTGGTAACCATCAGTTCATTCTCTATAGTTAAGAGTCTGTTTCTTCACTTCTCTCTCTCTCTTTTTCCCTTTGTTAATTTGTTTTGTTTTTAAATTCTACATATGAGTGAAATCATATGGTATTTGTTTTTCTATGACTGACTTATTTCACTTAGCATAATACATTCTAGCTCCATCCACATTGTTGCAAATGGCAAAATTTCATTCTTTTTGATTGCTTAGTAATATGCCAGTGTGTGTGTGTGTGTGTGTGTGTGTGTGTGTGTGTCCCACATCTCCATTTTTAAAATGATTTTTAAAGTCTATTTATTTGAGAGAGAAAGAGAGCATGAGTGGAGTAGGGGCAGAGATAGAGGGAGTGAGAGAATCCTAAGTAGGCTCTGCACTGAGCCTGGTGTGGGGATTGAACCCACAAACTATGAGATCATGACTTGGGCCAAAATCAAGAGTCAGATGCTCAAACACCTGAGCCACCCAGGTGCCTCCACATCTTCTTTATCCATTCATCAGTTGATGGACATTTGGGCTCTTTCCATAATTTGACTAGTGTTGATAATGCTGCTATAAACATAGAGGTGCATGCGTCCCATTTGAATCTGTATTTTTTATTCTTTGGGTAAATACCTAGTATTGCAACTGCTAGGTCATAAGACAATTCTATTTTTAATTTTTGAAGAACCTCCATACTGTTTTCTAAAGTGGTTGCACCAGTTTGCATTCCCACCAATAGTGCAAGAGGGTTCCTTTTTCTCCACAACCTGTCAGCACTTGTTATTCCTTGTGTTTTTGATTTTAGCCATTCTGACAGGTGTGAGGTGATATCTCAGTGTGATTTTGATTTGCATTTTCCTGATGAGGAATGGTGTTTCATGTGTCTGCTAGTCATCTGTATGTCTTCTTTGGAGAAATGTCTGTGCATGTCTTCTGTCATGGGGACATTTAAAAACTCTTCAAGTTGGGGCACCTGTGTGGCTCAGTCAATTAAGCATCCAACTCTTGAGTTCCCAAGTTTGAGCCCTGCATTGAGCCCTGAGCTGGTCAATGAAGAGCCTGCTTGGGATTCTCTCTCTCTGTCCCTCCCTGCACACGTGCTCTCTCTCTCCCTCAAAAAATAAACTAAAACTAAAAGAAATCCACAAAACTTTTAGGAAAATCCAGGTGACTATAATGTGAAGCCAAGGTTTAGAACAACTGCATTTCATTCTTTTCACTCAGAATATTCGCATATCTTGATTTCTGTCTTTTCTTTAATGAATTTTAGTGATTTGTATTTACCTAGAAAATTATCTTTTTGTCCAGTACATATTTTCCTTCTCTAGTCTTCCTTAAGTTCATTTTGTTTATCTGCTTCTAATTTCTACATCAGTTTTATTTTGTTTTATTTCATTTATGTTTATTCTTTTTTGTTAATAATAAAACCATTTCAGGCTATTAACTTTTACTGTAACAAACATCTGTGTATAGTACTTATTAAATATATACTACTTTTATTATCAATATTTTTAAAGATAATCTGTAATTACTGTTTTGATTTCCTTTTTGATCTAAGGATTGTTTTCAAAGGGCTTTTCCCCCCATTTTTCAGGTAGCTGGGATATTTTCATAATCATGTCCAGTTTTATTATTGTCACAGAACCACTTCTGAATTACTTGGACAATGCTTCTAAAACATCTATTTGATATTTTTTAAAAATTTTATTATTGAAGTACATCTGCTTTATCTTAGTTGAACATGTGTTATACCAGGCACTTAAAAAAAAGAAAAGCAACTGATTAAATAAGTTTAATAAAAAGAAAAAGAAGTTGCACCAGCTGCCCTTCCATCAAGGCAAATTGGTCTCCTAAGTTTGGGCCTTCTTGGGAAGGAAGTCCTTGAGACTTGATGCACCAGAATCCCAGATGTGTATTCAGGACTAAGGCTTTTTTCATTGCTCCTATTGCACACCTTTGTTTATCGGAAGCAAGTTCACTCTAAAGTCATTACATTAAGCAGGAGTCAGCAAACATTTTCTCTAAAGGGCCAGAAAGAAAATATTTTAGGCTTTGTGTGTTGAGTTACTAATATTGGATGAAACATATTTATAATAAAAAACTATTCATTGTTTGAAAAACACATTTAATGAATCATTTTAGATTTTTATTTGATAAATCTGACAATCTTGTTTACAGGCTATTTGGTCTCTGACACTACTTAGCTCTGCCATTGTAGTAGGAAAACAATTATAGACAATGCATAAGTAGATGGAAGTGGTTGTGTTCCAGTTATACTTTGTTAGTTATATTTACCTTGGGGGCCATAATTTGTCATGCCCTGCATTAAACTGGTAGTTTTCAGTGTTTAATGAGCATCAGAATCACATGGAGGTCTTGTTAAAACACTGGTTTCTGGACCCCATCCCCAGAGTTTGGATTTGGTGGCTGGGGTGAGGCCTAACAGTCTGCATTTCTATCAAGTTCTCAGTTAATACTGCTGGGGGTGATGGTCCTTGGACCACACTTTGAGTACCACTGCATAATAAGAAATGCCTGTTGCCTTTTTATTCCTAAAATCCACTCGGAGGAACATAGGTCTATTTATTATTATTTATTTGAAAATTTCACCAATGTTGTAAGACAAAAACTTTAAGTGCTGCAATTTAAATATTCTCAAGGGCAGATCTTCCTGATCAGCAATGCTTCCCTAGCACATATGGTACCTTTGGGCCAATAATAAAAAGTCACTCTCTCTCAGGGAAGAACTAGAAGAAAAGGCACCACTTCCTCTGAACTCACACCTCACCAGGGTGCACAGCTTGATAAACTGAGCATTGGCTAGATTGCACAGGCTGGATTTCAGCATTCACTCTTCCCTTCAGGAGGCTTTGTGCAGTGCACAAATGGGACAACGCTCCTGGCAGCCCTGCTAATCAGAAGAGTGTTGTTTATAATTTATTTATCAAAGAAACACATTCAAAATATAAAATATCCAGTAAGAGTTTACTAATTTTCCTGAAGTAAAACAAAATAAAAAAACTCAGCAAACAGTATTCTCTTTTATCCACTTGGATTTGACAGACTTTTCTCAGCTTTAATGAGGTATAATTGACAAAATTACAAGATATTTAAAGTGTACAGTGGGATGATAAACAGTATTGGTAACCAAAATCCCATATACCAGCTGACCAGCCACCTGTGCGCTTTTTCTCCCTCAAGAGAAGAAAATAAACTCAATCTTAAGAAATCTGCTCTGTACACAAATTTAAGAGTATTAATGTCCAGTGTTAGCATAATGAACATACTACGCACTGCTTGGGATCTTTGGAATTCATTTCAGGTTTCTTTATACTCTAATATAACAACAGTAGTTTGCAGATGTTCCATGACCTTGTTCAAAAGATTACATTCCCTGTATGGAGGCAAGAGAGTTTGAAATATAGTTGCTTATAAATGTATGCTTTTTTGTTAATAGTATCCGTATACTATATGGATTCTCTATATTCTTACTTATCCCCTTGATCTAATGACTTGGGATATAGCATAATATCCATTAGGTCAGGGAGAAAATTCTCATGAATGATTTCATATCCCTGGCACTTAGCACAATATTTGGAACATGATAGATACAAACTTATTAAATGACTAAATTATTTGGGGCTATAAAATGGATTGGAATGCAATTGTTTCCAGTTGCTCATTCAAACAAAAGATGAATGTTTATCCTTTATCCTTTCTCCCTATTGTAATTGCAGCAGGTCCTCCAAACTGGAAGCAGTTTTAATGAATGCATTGCTGCATTTCATCCTGAAGTTATACTTCTTCCCAATGTACATTTTAAAGGCAGGTCCTACTCAGACCTTATGTTGATCTTAAAAGATTTTAAAATATAAACATAGAAAACAAAATGATTGAAAAGGTATACACTAAAATATTGATGTGGTTTCTCTCTAGGTGGTTCTTTTTATTTACTTCTTTTTGCTTTTTTTGATATTTTCAAGATATTCCATAATGAAAGGCATTACTTTTGGAGTTAAGAGCAGAAGGAAAATGTGTGATTAGAAATATAACTCATTTTTTTTCTCTGACATTTCTACTCTCTGGTTCAAGTTCTACTCATTGACATCATACAGAAATAGAAAATTCACTCTTCTAGAACGAGAACCAATTAATATTTAAATGGACCTCTTAGATTCTTGAGTCTTCTTTAAAGTTACCTTCAAACCTTTGTCACATAGTTCCCAGATCTTTCACCACCTCATTTGTCTCGTGAACATAGTCCCATTAGTGGATAACCATTTGAAATAGAGGTCTAACCTGGATTCAGTATTTCAGATGCAGCCTGATTCACACAAGGACACAGAATCTCCCCTTGGTTCATAATATGGTTCCATTGTTGCAGCCTACAATAGGAAGAGCATTTTCAGTGCCCATGACAATAATGACTCACACAGAATGTACTAAAATTTCTGGCTTTTTCACTCTTTTGTCCCCAAGCAGTTTTTATACAACTAGGTAGCATCTATACATAGCTATCTCATGTGTGCTTTTCCTGTCCTCCCTTCTCAAGCAGGCCGCAGATGGTGGACTTAAGGAACGGGAGCACAGTGACAGAGTTTATCCTTGTGGGTTTTGAGCAGAGCTCCTCTTCTACTCGGGCATTGCTCTTCGCCCTCTTCCTAGCCCTCTACAGCCTTGCCATGGCCATGAATGGCCTCATCATCTTCATCACCTGGACAGACCCCAGACTCAACAGCCCCATGTACTTCTTCCTTGGCCACCTGTCCTTCCTGGATGTCTGCTTCATCACCACCACCATCCCACAGATGCTAATCCACCTGGTGGTCAGGAACCACACTGTCTCCTTTGACTCATGCTTGACCCAGATGTAAATGGTATTAAGTGTAGGTGTGGCAGAGTGCATCCTCTTGGCTTTCATGGCCTATGACCGTTATGTTGCTATCTGCCACCCACTCAGCTATGGACAGATCATGAGCCGGCAGGTCTGTGTGAGGCTAGTGAGTTCAGCCTGGTTCTTTGGGCTGATCAATGGTATTCTGCTTGACTACATGACATTTCGTGGTCCATTCTGTAGAGACAACCACATAGAAAACTTCTTCTGTGAGGCCCCCATAGTGATTGCCCTCTCTTGTGGAGACCCCCAGTTCAGTCTGAGAACGATCTTTGCCGATGCCATCGTGGTGCTGCTCAGTCCCATGGTGCTCATCGTCACCTCCTATGCCCGCATCCTGGCCTCCATCCTTGGCAGAGCCTCCTCCTCAGGTCGGGGGAAGACCTTCTCCACTTGTGCCTCCCATCTGACTGTGGTCATCTTTTTCTATACCTCAGCCATGTTCTCTTACATGAACCCTCGCAGCACACATGGCCCTGACAAAGACAAGCCTTTCTCCCTCCTCTACACCATCATCACCCCCATGTGCAATCCCATCATCTATAGTTTTCGAAACAAGGAAATGAAGGGGGCCATGATGAGGGCCCTTGGGAGGACCAGCCTGTCCCAGGCAGAATCTGTCTAGTGGGAAGACTCCTGGAAGAGAAGCTCCCTCCACAACAATTGGGTAACTCTCCAATGCAAAGTCTCCAGGAAAGAGCATTCATAGCTTTCCTCCAACTAACATCAGACCTAGAAGAACCTGTTAATGTCTAATGCTCATCTGTCTTATTTCCCTCCCAGTATAGACTGATCTTTCCAAAATCTCTTACTAACGCATGTTCATGATTGGAGGAGCGAGTGGAATGAAATGGAAAAGTTTATTCCAAAATGGGAGGAAAGGTAGTAGACTCCTCAGGGAAAGACAGTAAGAGGATGCCCAGTCCATTCTTTGAGCGTTTCTTTCTAGGGCAAAGGCAATTAGCAGGAGCTCCAGCTTTAGGAAAAGAGCTGACTGAGAACAATGAGGGAAACAAAGGGATATATAGAAGTTAGGGGAAAATCCATGGGTGGGAGAAATATGTTAAAAGACATGTAATATTATCTCTATAGAGTGCCTTCAAAATTCTCCAGACGTTCCCAGAAAAAATAAGAACTGATGAAAAGGATTGTATTACTCCTCAAAGGAAGAAAGAGGAGGAGCTATATGCCAAATAGATGTGAATTATTAATGGAGAGGTGGGAAGGCAGAAGCAATAACAGGAAGTCTGAGGGGAGCATCATATCCCTAGATTGTAAACTGGGAGTGGGAGCTATAAAATGAAGTCTCCTAGGGTCAGGGAAGCTTCCAGTGACATCTACAGTGTATCAGAATATAAAAAGAGCACTTTAAATTATTTGTGTCTTTGTTCACTTTTGCTGGAAAATTGTTTCCCCAGCCTGGATACATGTTGTACAATTTAAATATGTCCCCTTTTTTTCATGAAGATTTCATCCTATCTCTTGATTTACTTATGATACACTACATTTCCAAGACTCTGCTCACATCTCTATCTTCTTTCTTCCCTGCCCCTATTCAGTTACCTAAAGTCTAGAGTACTAGTTCTCAGCCAGGATGATTTTCTCTCCCAGGAGGTATTTGACAATATCTGAAGACATTTTTTGGTTGTCCTAACAGGAGGAGGATGTGTGCAGCAGACACCTAGTACGTAGAGGGGTGCTGCTCAACATCCTACATTACAGAGAACAACCCCCATAATAAAGAATTTTTCAGCCCAAGAAATCATTAATGGTGAGGTTGAATAACCCTGTCACGAGATAAAGAATTAAAAGGACAGAATGAGGAAGATGCTGAGAGGAATTGACATGGGAAAAGAAGAGGCAGGAGGAAACCAAGAATTTAGAATACCGAATTCTATCTACAAAGACGTGTCTGGTTTACCATGAGCAGGACTTCTGCTGGCACTGCCATGGCAACCACCTATATAAGTAGATGTGGTGAAACCTACCCTAAAACCTCTGAGTTTATCCCTATCTGAGTCTACCCTTACTCTTCTAGTTTTCTCAAGTTATAGGACTTTTCCTACCCAATCACACCCTTCTGCCTGCCACTAGCAGGGACTCCTACTTAAATTCTGCCATTTTCCTCTGCGACTTCAACCCAAACGTCATCCAGCCAAGCAGTGATCTTTCTCTTGTTCCTACCAATCTCACATTCCTGCCTAGCTCAATCCTATCATGCTTGCCTTTGCTCATTCACATAGGATTCCTGCAAGTGCCAATCAGTGCAACCCTTGAAAACCATGTGCCCTCTTATGGGAATGCTTCCTAGAATGTCAAATTTTTCCCCTTCCCTTTATCCATCTCCTTCTTTCTCCATTGCTTCTATTTCCCCCCTACCCATATGCTCCTCTCATATGAAGGGTCCACTCTTCCTTTTATGTATGATGGATATTTTCTTTTGTCCCTGTAGAACTAAATACATACCTTCTCCCCCTGGTCTGTGTCCTGGTATACAGACCTTTGTTGGCTGCCCTAATGGGTTTGGTTGCCTTCTACATCCTGTTAGGCTCAACTGAAAAGAGTCATTTAGCAGGATTAGAGGAAGGCAGGAGAATGGTGAGTGAGGCTCTTTGTTCTTCTGCTTCTTCCCTGATGCCCTAGAGTTACTGGCAGGTGTCTTTCTCCTACAGCTCCCTTTCCTGTCCCCATAAGGTGGTACCTGCTCCCTGCTCTGGAGAGCCCAAGATGCTCCAATATCCCTCTCTGATTCCATTAATCCTGTCCACATCCTGGTAAGCTCCCTCATAGTCTTGTTTACATATGCCAACCATTTCGTCCCACCACAGTGTCTGACTAACAAGTACCAGGCACATATTAGCAACCACAAATTGAAAATTTCTCAAAATGGGCCATATACTAGTCAGCAAGGCATATCTCAAAATATTTTAAAGGTGTGAATCCTACAGACCAAGTTCTCTGACCTAATGCAATTAAGTTAGAAAACCGTATCAAAAAGATAATTAGAAGGAAGCCCTTATGGTTAGAAATCAATAAACATGGTTCTAATTAACCTGCATACCAAAGAATGAAGTATAAGTCTACCCAATATGGAAAGAATAAAGAGCTTGAAAGTTGTCATTCCCACACCTATCATTAAAAAGGATAAACAAACTGAAAATCAACAGTATTCATAGATCTATCAGAGAATTGAAGTTACAGGGAAAACCACCACCCCAAAAACTAGGAAACAAGGGAACACAGAAAATCACAGCTCTCTGGGACTGCTAGCTGTATCTGGAGTCTGGTCAGAACACTTAAAGGGAAATGAATTGTTAGTGGAGACTGAGCAGAGGCTAGCTTCAGAGATAAAAACTACTGAGGTCCTGCCCTCAGAGGAGCTCTCATAGTTTCTTGAGGTTTATTTCCAGCAGCCTCATCAGCTTCTCAGGATGAAGATCAGAAAATAAATCCCCTTATGCTTCTGCAGGAGGAAAGGAAATGTTAGCATTTTGAAGTAAATCCATAGAACACTGTTCTCCCTAATATCTGCCCTCAAGGAAAACTATTTTGTGAGAACCTAACAAATCTGGGGAAGGATCCAAGGAAAAGAAAAAGAAGAAAAACTGAGAAGGACTTGTGAAGGTTACAGCTGGGGCCACAGGCTCACTGGAAGACTGAGACCTAATCGTAGGACTATAGAGTTCTTCCACTCCCCTGTATCTTACTACCACATCAATAAGGCTGGAGAATTTCAAGAAGTACAGCTGAAAGAGCTGGAACCCTCAGGCCGTATTTAGGAAGGAGTCTTTGGGGAAACAAAAAGACAGCAAATGAGACAAAAACAAGGGACACTGGAGGACATTTTAGCCTCTGACCCCACAGCTACAGCAAACATTAAAAACTACCTAATGCCCTTTTTTCCATTGGATATTCTTTCCTGCTTTGTCAAAGATCAGTTGGCTGTATACTTTTGGGTCCACTTCTGAGTTCTCAATTCTGTTCCATTGGTCTATGTGTCTGTTTTTGTGCCAATACCATACTGTCTTGATGATGACAGCTTTGTAGTAGAGGCTAAAGTCTGGGATGGTGATACCTCCCGTTTTGGTTTTATTTTTCAGTATTACTTTGGCTATTCGGGGTCTTTTATGGTTCAATACAAATTTTTGGATAGTTTGTTCTAGTTTTGAGAAGTATGCTGGTGCAATTTTGATAGGAATTGCATTGAATGTGTAGAGTGCTTTAGGTAGTAATGACATCTTAACTATATTTATTCTTCCTATCCATGAGCATGGAATGTTTTTCCATTTCTTTGTGTCTTCTTCCATTTCCTTCATAAGTGTTCTATAGTTTTCATCATACAGATCTCTTGTATCCTTGGTTAGGTTTATTCTGAGGTACTTTGTGGTTTTTTGTGCAGTTGTGAATGGGATCAGTTTCTTGATTTCTCTTTCTGTTGCTTCATTGTTGGTGTATAAAAATGCAACGATTTCTGTACGTTGATTTTGTACCCTGCAACTTGGCTGAATTCTTGGATCAGTTCTAGTAGGCTTCTGGTGGAGTCTGTCGGGTTTTCGATGTAGAGTATCATGTCATCTGTGAAGAGTGAAAGTCTGACTTCCTCTTTGCCAATTCTGATACCTTTGATTTCCTTTTGTTTTCTGATGGCTGATGCTAGGACTTCCAGCACTATGTTAAACAACAGTGGTGAGAGTGGACATCCCTGTCGTGTTCCTAATCTCAGGAGGAAAGCTCTCAGTTTTTCCCCGTTGAGGATGATGTTAGCTGAAGGCTTCTCATAGATGGCTTTTATGATAATAAACCACATCTTCTTCCATCCATTCATCAGTTGATGGACACTTAGGCTCTTTCCCTGTTTTGGCTATTGTTGAGAGTGCTGCTATGAACACTGGGGTACATGTGCCCCTCTGCATCAGCATTCCTATATCCCTGGGGTAAATTCCTAGCAGTGCTATTGCTGGGTCATAGGGGAGTTCTGTTGTTCATTTTTTGAGGAACCTCCACACTGTTTTCCAGAGGGGCTGCACCAGTTTACATTCCCACCAGTAGTGTAGGAGGTGCCCATTTCTCCACATCCTCGCCAGCATCTAGAGTTCTCTGACTGGTTCATTTTCGCCACTATGACTGTCGTGAGGTGGTATCTCAGTGTGGTTTTGATTTGTATTTCCCTGATGAGGAGGGATGCTGAGCATCGTTTCATGTATCTGTTGGCCATCTGGATATCCTCTTTGGAGAAGTGTCTGTTCATGTCTTCTGCCTATTTCTTCACTAGAGTATTTGTTTTTCAAGTGTGGAGTTTGTTGAATTCCTTTTAAACTTTGGATACTAGCCCTTTATGTGATGTGTCATTTGCAACTATCTTTTCCCATTCCGTCAGTTGCCTATTAGTTTTATGGATTGTTTCCTTTGCCATGCAGAAGCTTTTTATCTTGATGAGGCCCCAATAGTTCATTTTTGCTCTTGAGTCTCTTGCCTTTGGAGATGTGTCAAGTAAGAAATTGCTGTGGTTGAGGTCAAGGAAGTTATTTCCTGCTTTCTCCTCTAGGGTTTTGATGGTTTCCTGTCTCACATTCAGATCCTTTATCCATTTTGAGTTTATTTTTGTGTACGGTGTGAGAAAATGAT